GTGCAAAGTAAGAAATGAAACAACAAAATTCTCCAAGATACGTACAGTTTTGATGTTTTCTTCTTTATAGTCAATAACTCGATCAACTCCTAAATCTTTCAAAAGCTTGGCCTTTTCTTTGCCCCCACAAGTTGCAACAACCTTATTTCCAGCTAGTTTAGCAAGCTGCATCAAGTAATAGATGTTATAAGCTCATATGAGTTGCAGTAAAATGACTAGAAAGGAATGTTATTTCTCATTGGTACAATTTAAGAGATGTAACACTTTCATGGTGATTCAAAAGCCTATACGTGGAACAACATGGAATAAGAAATCTAGAAGAAAGAAACTTATTCAACTCAACTGCCCAAAACCGCAGTGCGTGAGCAAAACAGCGGAGGAATATATAGATAATGGACATTGGAGCAGTGGTGGCAAGAGCTCACAACATTCTGAAGGCCACTCCCTAGGGTAAAGCTGTATATGTTAAACCTAGCCAGACCAAGTAGATGGAACCTCATAGATGGATGTTTCCCTCAAATAGTGGGGGTGATCAATAAAAGTGAAGGCCAAAAGAATTTGTTATTGCTTCTTTAAAAACAGAGAAATAGATTAATCATTACAATGCACTGTGCAATTTTTTCCAAGTATTATTGTCATATGTTAAAGCCGAGAATATACATGTAGGAAATTATTAGATGGATGTCCATGTCATCATTACTACTATACCTGCACAGCAAACTGCCCGGTGCCCCCTGCAGCAGCAGTGACAAGAACTACTTTTCCTGATTCCATCCGTGCCGCCTACGTAGTAGGAAAATGGGGAACAGCTTAGCAATATAAATAGTCCAATTGAAGAATGTCTTCCAAATAATACAACACAAACTAAAGAATTGTTTTCTACTAACTACAAAGACAAATAGGCCCCTGTTTGGTTTAGCTAAAAATCATATTTTAGTAGATTTTAATAAAAGTTGGTGAAATGTGTGGTTGAAAAGTTGATAAAAGTTGCGGTCCCATGATATGTGTGGTTGAAAATGAGTTTGTGAAAAAATGGGCTAAATTAGTTATGCTAACAATACAACACATTGAGAATAGCATGAAAAATATTGACCAAGTATGAGGAGAATAAAAAAGAAAGAGAGAACAAAATAATGTATCTCAGATACGAGTGAAGAAAAACCTTTTCTAAAGCAATGGAAGCTGTCAATCCTGATGTGAGCATGGCAACAACTTCCGGATCTGGTCTTGCCACAGGAAGGATGTGTTTTGAAGGTACCTAAATTGCATGTTTATGCAAATTATCACCTCAAGAAATATGAAAATATAAAAAAGGAATAACAAAACCGACCAATCTCAGAGTCAAAAAATTATAAATGTTTTACCGTGGTGAATTCAGCGTAACTTCCAAAAGTCATTATTGCAGCCGGGGTGCCAGGCTTTAAGTTTTTAACAGAATCGCCTACAGCAGCAATTATTCCCACTCCCTGAATTATAAGATAAGATTACGTTTGTGAACCCCCAAAAGAATTGTTTGATATTGGATAAATCAAAATGTACCCAACAACAAAAATAAAATGGACTACTATGAATAGAAAGATCACTGATAAGGCAAATAGAACAAGCATTAAAAGTGACCCTATTCCATCACGAACTACTACTTTCTGTCAATGGACCAATATGTTGGAACTCTGAAAAAATGGCGCATCCATAACCAATAAAATGATAAGAGTCGTGAATTAAAATGAGTGTAACAAAGTCCCAAGAAAAAAAATTGAAACTAAAAACAGACAACTCAAAGACATTTAAATCTAATACAAATGTACATGTGTCTTATGAAGATTGCATACATTGTACCTCGTAAAACTTAATAAATATTTAAAATAAAAAACAATATCCTATACATTTAACATACTAACTTCTTAGTCTGATGATAACCAACATGCAAGATGTTAGTGATAAGTTTGATTGAGTGCGATGCACATACAAAGTCATGCAATAATCTTCGGACAAAAGATGGATCACAAAATTTGGGATAAGAAGTTCAGATATTTAAGTGATGTTCAAAAGAGTTTTATGGAAGATCATATGACTAAACAATTTTTAACCACATGCAAAAGTTAGATTCAAGGAGATAAAGAGTCTGAAGGAAGATACAGGAGCATCATATGTCTCATGAGTCATGCCAACAATCATACGATTTAAGTGGAAGGTATGAGAGAGACATGTGAGGAGGATGTATCACTCATATGAAGTGGAATGGCTAAAAAAGTTATATGTATGACTCAGAAAAAACATAAGGTCCATACATACGATGAAGTTGTATCATATGTGTAACGTAGAAAAAAACAAAGGTCACAAGTCTGGAAGTTGATTTGCATTCACCAAGTGTGATATGTTTAAGAGACCATACGTACGGCTTTGTATAATACACTTGATGTGAATTTTGAAAAGGTCATATGAATGATAATTTGGATCATATATCTGAAGAGGAAAAACCGAAAGACCAGACATATAATGGTTGTATAGGGAGTTTCAAATATCCATTCTTGATGATTCAGACATTTATTAAAGTATTTGAATACTTCATACGTTCAGGGATATTATCAGAATCACAGATCCAGATCAAGCTATTGGAGGAATCAGACGACAAACAAATTTTCCTTAGAAGTCCAATGGACATTATGCAACAACAGGCAACCAAAGAAGACTTCCTGCAGACACTTTCTTCTTTGTTATTATTGTTTTTCATCACTCGCCATCAAAAAGTCCATAAGTATTGTTCCTATCTTGAAAGCTACTCAAGCTGCTAGTCTATAATAGATAATAAACCTAAATTCTTCAGGAGAACTCTAATCACAAGATCTTTAAAATGAAAGAAAGACACAATATTATTTAACTTGTAAAGTGTTAAAATCAGTCTTTTGAAAAGAAACCCTCTGAGAGTAATCTACAAAAAATATTTTTCTTCTTGCTCAGTGATTCTCAAATCACTGTGAATATCTAAGCTTGCCTCTTCCATAGATTCAAGTTGTAGTACTGCTGTTATAAGTAGGTTTCTGAGCCAATGAGAAGAAATGGGAAAGTGTTGTTGCTGAACTGGTGAAATACTAAAAGGACGACTTCAGAAATGAATGTAGACACATGAGTTGAACTGTCATAAATCTGGCGCTCTCTGACCATCTCTTTACTTTCTGCAACTTCATATTTATTGATTCATGCATACAACGAAGATTTTTAAAGAAG